AGCAAGTTCAGACACCATTAACTTACACTTGAAGTTGGGATGTTTCTCCCAGTGTGCATCACCTCACACTTACCAACACTGAACTTCATCTGCCAGTGTCGCCCACTCACCCAGTTTGTGGAGGTCCCCTTGGAGCTCTTCACAGTCAGCCATGGTTTTCAGCATCCTGAATAATTTTGTGTCATCTGCAAACTTCACTACTATTCTACTCACCCCTAGCTCCAGATCACTGACGAATAAATTAAATAGTATTGGCCTCACTGCTTACTTTTTTCCATTGTGAGAACTGTCCATTGATTTGTACTCTTTGCTTCCCATCATTTAACCAGTTTTAAATCCATAAGAGAACCTGTCCTCTTATCCCATCACTGCTATGTTTACGCAAGAGTCTTTGGTGAAGTGCCTTGTCCACTTTCTCAAAGAACTCCAAAAAGTTGGTGAGGTAGGACTTCCCTTTTTATTTATTTATATTTATTTATACATTAGATTTCTATACCGCTCCAAACCCCGAAGGGTCTCTGAGCGGTTTACAGTTCTGAATTATCCCTAACTAAGGCCACATGTTTACAGGGGTCGGGGCTACCTACCAGCACCCAGGTGGCAGGGCTCGCTGTTCTCGGCTTGTTCCCGGGCAGTCTTTTTCGGGCGTCGGTGCTCCGATGTTCCTGGCGTCCCTGGTGTCTGGCGTGGTCTTTCTCGGTCCGGCGGCTTTCTTTCTAGGCAGGCTCCTCTAGTGCGTGGTTCGCGTCGACTTACAGCCCAGCTAACGCCCAATCCGGCTCCGCTGCGCCTGCGCACGTCACCACGTCCTTCTATGGCTCCGCCTCCCGTCTCTGCCTCCGTCACTCCGCTGCCTCGCTCTGTCGATACGATGCCTCGCCATACCACCGTCGCCATTTTTCGCCAATGCCACTGCCGCCGCTTTTGATGCTCCTGCCGCACACCCCCATATGGGAGAGGGTGCCCCCTGCCACCTAAGGGCAGGTACCCATTAATCTACTCGCAATATTTACTTGCTTTCGAACCGCTGGGTGGGCAGGAGCTGGGACTAGGGCCAGGAGCTCACCCTGGCCGCGGTGGGTTTCGAACCACTGTAGCAGCTGTTCGCAGATGTTACCAGCAGGCATTTAACCGCCTGCGCCACCGCTCCCTTTGCAGAAGCCATGCTGATTTTCCCTCAGCAGGCTTTGTGCCTATGTACCTAACAATTCTATCTTTGATTACAGTTTCTACTAATTTGCCTGGGATAGATGTTAGGCTGACTAGCCTGTAATTTCCTTGTTCCCCTCTGGATCCCTTTTTAAAAAATGAAGAATCGTTCTACTTACTCTGGTCCTGATCCATGGTAAAAATGTAAAGGAAAAATGGAAAAACTAGTAGTATTAGTGTGTTTCAAATGACACATATTTAGTTCTGACTATTGTGGGAAATGGGAACTGTGTTTCAGTAAAAGCGGTTTTAACTTGTTCAGACTTATGGTACAATGCCTGCATCAGAAAAAGTAACTACAAGAATGCATTAGGTAATTGGGATTGCTTGAGCTCAGGGATCATTTCCTGCGGGAGTGCACAGGAGCGGAGCTCCGGCAGTAGGGAGCACATGCAACAAGCCCCACTCCCTGCTCCCAGCAGCCCTCAGTTGGGCCACGAGGAGCAAGAAGCAGCCAGGTAAGTTGCAGAGCCCCCCCCCCCCCCGCACAAACCGCCCCCCCTCCCCCCCAGGTACAAGCTCTCCCTCCTCTGTTAGGACAGATCTGCATGTCCCGTCCCCCCCTATAGCTAGCAATCCAAAACAGTCGTGGAACCTGAGCGGTGGGTGTTGCCTTCTGACACACTTTTGGTGATGTCAGGGGGTGTGGCATATGCAAATATGTTATGCTAATGAGCTCCTGCACCTCTTTTTCTATGAAATGACCCCTGCTTGAGCTAATAGAAAAACTAATATGTGCTGTGGTAAGAACCACCTCCAATCAGCTTTATCTTCTAACCAGTGCCTCTACAGTAGCAATATAAAAACTTGTATTGAGGTATGCAGGGGGTCCTAGCCTTTGTTTTTGGAATTTGCCCACACAGCTGTGGTTTTTTATTTTTATTTTACTTTCAATAAACTGACTCAGTACTTCAAATTCTGGTTCCAGAACTTCCTCATTTTTGCCACAACAATAGGAACTGAAAAATCCCACAAATAAGTAATAGGCAGGGTTACCTCACCACCTGTGGCTGATGCCACCAATGACATAAATTGCTGATTAGCCTGTTCCTCTCTAAAAGAAGGCAGGGTTGATGCAGAACAAATTGCAAAGCAGTATAGGGTTCCTTTAAATAGGTCTAGGGCAGATCATTGAGCAAAACGTCAAGCTGATGATTTCTAGTGCCCAATAGTGCTATCTACAATATTCTTGAAAGTATCTATAATTCCATTTTGTCATCTGTCAATGAACCTGGTGTGACAGCAACGCCTTTAGAGTGATATTGTACTGCCACAAAGCTGGGGAATGATAATGTTTGCATGCTGATTCTTTGTGAAGGCCTTGCTGACTGTATAGAGTATTTAGATTCTTTTCTGCTCTTTTCAGCACACACTGAAGAAAGCCCATATTCAGTTCTGAGATCTGTAGCTGAAGGACCTCAAGGTAACAAAGGTTGTTAAGGGCTGTTAGTCCACTGCCAAACAAAGTAAACAGTGCTGAGTTGGAAGGACTGTTGGTGTGTTTCAGGATAAATTTGTACCTGTTGCACAAGAAAATCCTTTAAATTATGTATCTTCCTTTTTTTAAAGAAAAAAAAGTAATGTGAATTTCACTTACCTACACATTCATTAGTCCTGTAAAACACATATAATTGCTAGGATAATCCCCAGTCTGCTTGGCTGCAGAAAATAACCAAACCAAATGAAGCAAGAACAGCATGTAACATGCTTTGGTTGTCTTGCACAAAATGCATTTCAGAGCAACCATGGGGAGCTGAAGTAAGGAAAGGGTCCCTGTATAATACCTACCAAGAACATTTCAAGAGGGTGATAAAATCTTTCCTGGGTTGAACAAATATAAGGAGGCTAAATATTAGAACCAGAACTTAATCTTTGCATTCATAATCGAAACTACAAGATCAAGAACACTGTTCAAAAGGAAGCTCTGCACTTCAGGCAGCCATGAATTCTTCTGGATAACCCAACCAACTGTAACTGACAATGTAGTTATATATTGGTTCAATACAGAACTCCAGTGTCAAACAGCACAAACTGTGTTTGTTGGCAACTATTCCTTCACCCTATAAATCAAGGTAACACTTCTATCCTCCTCTATCAGAACACCCAGTCCCGCTAAATCCATCATCAAAACTACAATTGATTTCACAGTTATTGTTAAGTTCTATCATTCTCTTCCATTTATTTCACAAAGCTATACAAGTCACATGAACAAATCACATTTCATATTATATAGTCTTTGGATAGAACAATAGTCACAAAGACACTCTTCTGATCCACAGACATTACATATAAAACGTACTATTATTTTTACAGAGTGAAACTGAAGTATTCCTTCCAGTTATGAACAGTTCTGCTGATCTTCCTTTTCAACAGAAGGGATGAGATAGTCATAATGTTACTCCCAAAGCACTCTTCATTCTGAAGAAGTTTACTTGATCTAGGTTTCCAGCATCAATTAGACAAGTTTGTGTGACTTGTTTAGTTTCTTTTCTACAGTGCCTAGATAGACAGTCCTCAGACTGTCTTATAAGAATGAAGCACACATGAAAGCACGATGAAATCACATCGGTCTTAGAGAAGCTGATCAACCACCTTGGGCCTCTCTTCATTTGTTTTTCTTAGTAATGTTTGTTTAAGTGCATTGATCTTCTCATCAAGTTCAACCAAAGAATAGTTCTGTAATTTAGAAAAGAAACACGACTTTTAACACTTAGCGGCAGCTTCAAAGAGTTTTTATAGACCATAAATGTGATGGAGTATTTCTGCACTGAAAGCTCCAAATGCTTCATTGACTAGAGATGTAAAATTTCCAGAAATTTTGAAGCTCAGAAAAAAACCCGGGTTTTTTTCATGTTTTTTTCTGGGGAAAACAGAAAGTTTCGGAAAAATTAAAAAAAATGCTACATTAGCATTTCTTTTGTCTTTTCTAGATTGAAAGTCATTCTGTTACTTTAGGAATGCATCTTGTTCTTGCATTGGAGAGTTCAGTTTGTAACCTTGGACTTGCTTGTCCTCAGTGCACAGAAATTAGATCAATCTGATACCATATATATATATTTTAGAAATGATTTGGAAAATATTTGAACACTGTCTTAAAATATTTTATTCATCATGTTAAAATAAAACGTTCCATAATCAATTTTTTAACTTTTCTTTTTTCAATTTTTCCAATTTTTTGGAAAAAAACAAAAAAGGTTTCAGGAAAAACCCGGAAAAAAACCCGGTTTCCCCCCCGAATTTTTCCGTGTTTTTTTCCCCGGGCCTTCACATCTCTATCATTGACAGACAAGGAATGTTTGATAGACAGAAGAACTAGGAAGGACAAACCACATTCAGGTCCATTTAGTAACAACGACCTGCAGTAACTGAGATCCAGTAACAGTTGTCGGTTTATTTACTTCATTTACACACTGCCTTTCTCCCCACAAAACAGCTTACATCATTTTCCCTCGCCTCTATTTTATACTCACGGCAACCCTGTGAGGTAGGTTAGGTTGAGAGAGCGCGACTGGCTCAAGGCCATCCAGCAAATTTCCACGGCAGAGTGGGGAACTGAACCTGGGTCTCCCAGATTCTAGTCCGACACTACAACCATTATACCACGCTGGTTCTGTCAAATGATAGTCAACCATTATTCTATTTATATCCTGCTCTTTTGTTCAAAAAGAACACCCAAAGTGAGAAAATATTGCAGTATTCATGGTATTTGGAAAGTGGACAGAGAACTTTCTGCTCCCTCCAAAATACTAGAACTCAGGGGCACCCAACAAAGCTGATGTGCAATAGCATCCAGGGAGAAAGGGCTTGCACAATGTATAAGATATGAAATTCACTACCAAGATGGGGTTATGAAGGATACTAGCTTTGCTTTAAAGAGGAGAAGAGATTCCATGTAAGACAGATCTATCAGTGGCTATCCGTTATTATGGATAAATGAACCCTTCATGTTGAAAGCACTGCATCTTCGCTATCTGCTGCTGGAGGGCAACAACTGAGTGGGTTGTTGCTTTTAACTCCTATTTGTGGATTTCCTAGGGGCATCTAGTTGGTCCCTGTGGAAAACAAGATATTGGACCACATGAAACTTTGGTCTAATCCAGCAGGGCTTTCCCCTGTTAGGTCTGCAAGACTGTACAAGAAGCACTCATACCAGCAATGCCAGCTCCAAGGTGATGCCACAGCGTGGCTTCTCATGCAAGCCAGCAGACACCACGATAAGCAGACTCAAACTATCAAAGCTGTCTGGAGCCCTGATCCTGGCAAAGAGTTTGTGATGGTGACCGTAAGTGGTCACATGTGAACAATTAAGACTACTTTGATAGCTAGTGTTTTCTGGGAGACAGAATATGAATACTGACAAACAATGTGAGTTTTGATTTGTGTGTGTTTGTTCTCCCTGAGAAGGGAGAACATTTAAAACTACTCGGAGGCAGGATTCTTTACATCACAGGGTAGAGGAAGAGGAGCATGGAAATGGAAAGGGAAGGAGTGTCTTTAAATTCCCAGTCTGTAATTACAAAGATACATGAGTTAACTGCACTTACTTGATTTGGTTGGCTTTTCCTTCTTTTGCCCGACAAATTCTACAAAACATCAACAAACCAAAATGTAAGTAAATCTTTACATATAGTTGTAACAAATACAGTAAAATATTGCCCATAACAATAAGAAATCCACTCCCAACTCTTGTTATTAAATAACTCTTCCACTTTTAAAAGCCTCCAAACTGGGATACAATAAAACCAAACTAAGACAAACATAAGAATAAATACCAAAGCAGCAAAAAGATCCCAATATGAAAGCAGTCAGAAAACTCTGATAAAATGGCTGCAATCATGTGAAAAAAATGTATTGAATTATATGGGGTTTTCTGCTGAGCTGCCCTGTTTACGATGGCTCCCAATACCAATCCATTCTGCAAACTTTAAAGAACAAACACATCTTCATGTAGTACTTCAAGTGTGGTGTTAGGGAAAATACAGCATAAATAAAGTACCATGACTAGAAGGGTCATTTCACTCATCACTACCTGCCTGGATTCTGAAGATGGAGGAACCTGGAGGAAGGGCCTCTGATGATGATTTTTGTCTGGACAAGCTCCTATACCTTTCCTATTGGTGGAGGGGGGTGTCTATTATCCATGAAAGTGAAATACAGAACATCTGAATTCTCACCATTTAAAAAAAACCCTAATCCCAGTCCAACTACGGTAGTGCACACACTGAAACAGATATTTGTGCCTCTCCTTCTGTGGGAAACCCCACACGCAAATATGGCCAGCACAATTTGAATCCAGTAGTTTTAGTTGTACAAGGTTAAATTCTGTCAGCCTGATGTTTGGGAATAGAAGCAGTGCTTCCCCCCATCAGCTGATCAGTGGGATTGTAACCTTTTTAAAAAGGCTCTGTGATTACACCCCTGCCTGATCTATATTTCCATTGGATCAGGGCACCTGTAGAAAAAGAGACTCTGGCTCAGCTTTCTTCCAATGTGCAAGTTTTCTACATGCAGGGTAATTTTTGAATTTAGATGTATGATCCCCCCCCCCCATGTGAAGGATCCCAGGAAAACTGCCACTTAAGTAAGTAGATCAACATAACACTTATAAAAGGAAATATTTACACCTATGCAGCTGGTCCAAAGGTGGTGGTGGGAGCTAACCCATTTTCCCAGTGCAAAGCCCCACAGATACTAAACAGCATACATAGAGCTGCAACTGTATGGGTACCCTGACTGAGCTCAAAGAAAGGGAGCAATTCCAAGTAAACAATGCAATTGGCGTACAAAGCACTGAGAGGGCCTGTGGCAAATCGATGAACTGGAAAAACTATTTTTTCTTTATACACCCCCCAATCAAGATAAGGCTATAAATGGACAAGAGAGTTTAGAGTTACTTACAACAGACTGAAAATATTCAGGTGACATCCCTTCCAATTCAAGAATCTTATCTTCAAGCTTTTTAATTCTTTGATAGATGTCTTTTGGCACGGGTCCACCTACACATAATTTCCCCCCCCAAAAAATGAGAAGCATCAGAAAAGCTGACAGGACTAAAAAGCAAGTCTCTAGGCCACCTGTAAGATTACTCTTCCAACCCAAGATGTGAACCTAAGTGTGTAGGGGGAGAAAATTTGTATAAATTCCCAATTGTGTGTGAAGTATTCTGCTGGGATTTCTAGTAAAATGAAAAGCCTGGATCTCAACTGGAAGCTTCCTTACATATACATAAATTTTGATTCAGGGTTCCAAATGAAATTACAAGAGCCACGTTTCACTCTGGACTCTAACCCTCAAACAACAAAATCCCTTTTCCCATTTCTCGTCCTCAGAAAACACACTCTATGCTACTCTATTCACTAAGAATTAATGAAATTAATAGCTGTCCACACTGTCTGGGTGGCCTTTATAGTGGCATTCATTGCATTTATTTATTATTGTGGGTTACAGCCTTTCTCCTTCTGAGCACCTGTATTTATACACCACATACTTTACATTTTGTAAGTGCACTGTACTGAAAACAAAGCATGACTTGCAGTGCAAATTAAATTCATTAGTTTAGATTTACACTCAGTCTGTATCCAAAACCTAGGATGGGAAACAGCATTATGCCGCATCTACACATTCTAAAAAACCTTGGAAGTTAAATGCTATTTCCATTTCAGAGATGGTGAACTGAAGCTGGTAGTGACTTGGCAAGCCCCTATGTTAGTATTTTTTCCCCACTTAAACAAAGGTCTTAAAGCAATGTATAAAATGGATGAACATTAACATTCATTATGATTACTCTTCTCAAAGTTTGTGATGTAAGGAGACTGGCTGCTCTGGGAGATAATTAAGTTTAGGTAGTCATGTGCAGTCTCTTCAGGAACCTTAGGTGGAATGCAGCACATCTCCACAAACCAAGCCCAGACAACCCTGAATGACACCTCCCCCAAAGGAAGGAAGGAACAATGGATGGGCCAAAAGCAATAAGAAATTTGTACATATGGACTGACTGATCACTCCAAGTGACTAACTGGAAGAAGTCAGTCTTCAAAAAATTATAGCAGAATAACAACAGATGTAATGTGAGGTGATTAAAAGAGGCTTTTGTGTAACCACTGTAACCATGTACATGAGTCCTAGGTCACCATTACAGAGCAGTATTCCAGACTTGTCAGCTAGCCCAAAGTGATTGTGAACACTTGCAGAAATTATTCTTAAGACGAACGTGGGAGTTGAGAAGACAGTGCAATTTACAGTACTTATAGTACAATTTAGGCCTACCAGAATCAGCTACTTTCATCCATTTCTTGCCGTAATTTTGGAATCCAAAAACTAAGTGGTGTGGCACATGGGATACAAGTGTAGCCTTTCGTACAATTACTCTATGAATTTACATCTTTGCCTGTTTCTAAAAGAATCGTACTGCACAGAGTCCAAAATATAAAAAAGCCTATTTACTAACCTGTATGTAACCTTAAATGAGCTTCAATATTTTGTAGTCGCTCTTCTATAGCTTGATTCCCACAATCACGAAGGAGGGTGTTAGCTTTATGACTGGACCCATGAGCACCTTCATTTCTAGTTTGAGGGCCATAGGTATTTACAACTCGAGAAACTAGAATTAGAAAGGACAGGCTGTATTAATCTTTACACACAAAGAAAACAGGTCACACATGTCACCATCTAATGTCCGAATATAAAGCTATCTAATGTCTGACTGTATAACATCTGCCTTAAACTGCAATAGCTATTCCAAATTCCACTTTCCTGCTATTAATTGAGAATATCATGCAGAACATGCATGCCACACCACGGGCTACTGTTCAGTTACTGGGCTCAACTCAAGCTGCTGATTATCACCTACAAAGCACCTACAAATGGCACAGGACCCACATACCTGTGGAAACACCTCTCCTACCATGCTCTACCGTGGCAACTTTGATCATCTGAGCAAAACCTGCTGAAGATTCCTTCCTGTAAAACATGTAAGACTGGGAACTGCCAACTCATGTACATCCTCTGAAGAGGTCAGTCAGGTTAATGTTCAGGAGGGCATTCTTATAATGGAAATAGAACTGTAGTGGGACAGAACAGTCCAGAATGTCTTCATACGGGAGAGGGTACTGCACTGCCTTGTACCTTTGTAATCCCACATTCAGTATTGCTCGCACTATGTCAGCCTGGGCAGTCTGCCATTTACAATGTTACTTAATTTTGCATTCCTGGTCCTACTGCATTAGTATTGTCATTCAATTCTGTATTCCCAGTTTTGTTGCACTGTTCACTGTGTATCTTATACCATACGTTCACACTGCCACAGTATGCTTGCTCTGTCATTCAATTTTGTACTCCCAGTCCTATTGTTTTGTTCACAGGATGTCCTGCTATATGATTACATTTTTTTCTTTCTGTACTCTAATCTGCCAAGTCTTATTGAGAAAGGAGGGCTATAAATAATCTAAATAAATAAAATGAGCAACACCACACTATTATAAAAATAGCTGCAATTTTCCTGTAAATACAAAGTCCATTAACACTATATTCTGGTCAATCATCTTCAACTGTCTTTACTACCGCAGCATGACTGGCATCACTGATGCATCATTTTAAAGGGGAAAAAGCAGGGGGAGGGAATATACACACAGAAAAAAGGGTAATTAGAAAGAAGACCAAGAATTGGGAGCCAAGCAGCAAGTCTTCAGTCAAGGCATTAAAAAAAACAGCAGCAAATTTTAGATTTTTAAAAATACGTTCATAAAGCTGGTCTTTTTTGCAAAGAATTCCACAGAACCCAAAATTACCATTTCTGCATGGTATGTATTTCTGAGATGTCCCTTGCTTTTCAAATGTATACCTCTGGACATCTGGTAATCCAAGATATTAAATGTAAATCTCTGGTTGAGGGCTTTTCAGATAGTCAGTCCAACTCTACAATTTGATCATCTGGTAGTCAATACAGTATGCTGGAACCAAACATATTGGGAGCTAGTCAATACCCACACCTTTAGACTACAATCAGTAGTCTAAAGGATTATAGACCAGTTGCACTCACTCCAGTTGTGATGAAGTGTTTTGAGAAATTGGTACGTAGTCACATTGTTTCATGCCTTCCATCTACATTGGATAGTCATCAGTTTGCATATAAGGCAAACAGATCCACGGAGGATGTCATCACTACCACTCTCCATACTACTCTGTCACATCTGGAGCAGGTGGGGAGTTATGTGAGGTTGTTGTTTGTGGATTTTAGTTCTGCCTTTAATACCATCCTCCCATATAGATTAGTGTCCAAATTGGAGGGCCTTGGACTCTCCAGCTCCATATGCCTCTGGATTTTGAACTTCTTGATGGCACGCCCCCAGAGGGTTAGGGTAGGGTCCTACATGTCCACGGCCCTTATCCTTAATACCGGTTCTCCATAAGGCTGTGTGTTGAGCCCCTTGCTCTATACCCACTATACGCAGGACTGTACCCCAGAAACACCATCATTAAGTTTGCTGATGACACCACTGTGGTGGGGCTCATCTCTGGGAATGATGAGTCTGCTTACCGGGATGAGGTGGAACGGCTTTGTGTGTGGTGTAGGGA